ATGTGTAATGTGTCTTTTTTTCTGTATCTGCTTTTAAGATATTCTCTTAATCATTGGTTTTAAAAATTTGATTTTGATGTGCATTTGTGTAGTTTCTTTTTATATATCTTGTGCTTAGAGTTTGCAAGTTTCTCTGATCTGTGGGTTTGCAGTTTTCCTACAGATTTGGAAAATGTTTATCATTATTTCTTCAAATATTTTTTCCTGTACCTCCCTCTCTCCCCACCCCCCAGGAAATCTATATTTTACATAATCCTGTACCTCCCTCTGTTCTCTACTTTAGGAACTTCAACTATAGGCCACTTGAAACCACTTGAAATCATCCCAGACTTGCTGATGTTTGTGTTCATTTTTCCATTTCAGTCTTTTTTCTTTCTGCATTTCATTTTGGATTGTTTCTATTCCTGTGTCACTAAGTTTACTAACCTTTTCCTCTTCAATGTCTCACCTGATGTGAATTCCAGCCAATGTTTTTTGTTTGTTTGTTTGTTTTGAGACAGGGTCTCATTCCATTGCCCTAAGCTGGAGTGCAGTGGCACCATCATAGCTCATTGCAGACTTGAACTCCTGTGCTCAAGTGATCCTCCTGCCTCAGCCTCCCAAAGTGATGGGATTACAGGTGTGAGCCATCACACCCAGCCTAGCCAATGTATTTTTCATCTTAGACTCTATAATTTTCATCTCTGAAAGTTCAATTTGGACCATTTTTATATTTTCCATGTCTTTAACATATTTAGTCTTTATCTTCTTGAACATATTTATAACTTTTTATGTTTTTGTCTACTAATTCTTATTCAGTAATTCATAGATGAGACTACTACCATCTGTATTATTTCAAGTTTTGTTTCTATTGGTTCATTTTTCTCCTCATAATGGGTTGTATTTTCCTGCTTCTTTACATACTTGGTAGCTGTTACTAGATGCCAGACATTGTTTGGTGCTAGATATTTTTGTATTTCTAGAACACTCTTGACTTTTATTCTGGGGGAACAATTCGATCCTTTCAAGGCTTGCTTTTGTTAGGCAGCAGGGAGTGCAATCAGTGGATGGGGAGCTAGAGAGAGAGAGAGGACCTGTGAGACTGGGCTTTTATTAAGGTCCACAGGTTTTATTCCTTAGGCTTTCCCACAGGGTTTGTGGATTGACTAATTTAAAGAAAACACACAGAAAGGAGGAACTTGTTTACATGACTCTGGTGTTGACCATCAGGTTTTATCATGTTTAGAACCTGTAAGGTATGTTGGTTTTTGGGTCAGTGGGATGAGGAAGAAGCAGGCTATATCACATACAATCACATGGAAAGGGGAAGTTTTAAGTAGGCCAAAGGTGACCACTGGGTTTCAAACAACTTATGTCAGACCTAAAAATAAATACTGAGGCAGCAACTATGTTAAGCAAATTTATGACACACATTTAGCAAATAAAAATATAGGGCACACCCTCTATCCTATCTGAAAACCTTAGCTGGGTATAAAAATAAAAGTTCTGAGACCAGGTCAGAAACATTAGGGCAAAAGCAAGGACAGACTTCTAGAAGCACCCAGACCCTAGAAGTCCCGAGGCATCTAGAGTTTAGGGCCAAATGAACCCTCTGCAAGCAGGGTTTAACCTGGCTCAGAGATGAAAACAAGGTGGAGCACAGATTCCTATGAGCATATAGATAGGAGCCAAGGTCCTAGTGGAGGTGGGCATACAATTATAGTTACAGTAAAGCTGCTCTTAACAAGCAGGAGGTGAGGAAACTCAGTATACATAGATGCCAGAGGTCAAGGTAAAGTAAGTGGCTCAAGGCCGGAGGGCAGAACAGAAATATAAACTCTACTAAAAACTAAAGTACACGCCAAGGGAGTCAGGAGAATACACTGGAAGTCCCAGTGCCAATAAAGGAATGACAAATATTTGCTTCATCTAAGAAGCTTTTCATATGTTTTCCCACTAAAAATGGGAATAAATCATGAGATAGAGCTAGATAGTATCACATTATCTCACCATATCTGGTAGACTTTGACACAGAAATCAAATCCTATCACCTCATGACACATTCTTGACCTCAGTATGCTCTTTGTGTCCTTTAGCACATGAACACACACTGCCTTGTGCTACTCAACTTCTTGTTTTACCAACTCAGTTGTAAACTAGTCAAAGATAAGAACAGTATCCCAGGTTCCTTAGCTCTGTATTCTAAATGCTCAATGCCATTTGAATGATTGAATGAGTGATGAATGAATGATGTTTAGGGAGAATTTTAGAGATAATGTACTTCTTTATACTGTGTGGAGCCATAATTAACTCTTCCTCCAGGAAGAGAGAAACATCTCACAGCTCTCTGAGTATCCTGGGCTACCTGAAATGTGTGCTCCTAATTTTCTTTGTTGTTTTTCAGAGGGTATTATTCCTGGGCCCCCCACAGACCTCTGTGTCACTGAGGCTACCCGGAGCTATGTGGTGCTCAGCTGGAAGCCCCCTGGCCAGCGTGGCCATGAGGGCATTATGTACTTTGTTGAAAAGGTAAGACTCCAGAACCAATGCTACCTCATGCCACTTCCTATAAAGATTTCTTTAAAGAAGTAGAGATTAAATTTCCAGAGACAAGTGGAGTGAGGGAGGAGGAGGGAGGATGTCCTGAACTCTTTTAAGTCCATATAAACTGTGAACTCTCTCCGTAGAAAAATGTATATCACACAGAATTCTGCCTTAAAGTCAGGGGGTTTATAGATCCCCAAGACTCACCCATAGACTCCTAAGAGGTCCACAGACCCAAAATCATAACCCCTATAAGAAGAGCAATGTTTCTGAAATGGAGATTGCCCATATGGCAATGTCTTCTAGAGACTTTCTTGTCTCCCTTGCTGTGGTAATGGTTTTTCATCTCTCTGCCACTTGTCCTTCTGTATTAAGGCATGAGTATCAGTGAGGCTAGATGGGAGAGAGGAAAGGAGAAGTCAAGGACAGCAAGCCCTAGGCTGCTGTGCTTCCCCCAAATATCTTACAATTATGTTGGGGATGCATTAGAGAGAACATTAGAGAGGACAGCATACAATGAAGGCCTAGAATGGGTGGAATGGATGAGAATAATATGTGCCTTAATCATATACCCGTATTTGAGGGGAGTTATGATAAACATTAATGCCCAGAAAATGGAGAAGAACCCCAACCTGGACAGGACATTATTTGGGGGAACTGACCCAGCCACAAATGCAGAACAGAAGAGCCTGCCAGGCAAGACACAGGTCTAAGCGGCACTAAAAGTCCTTGGCTAACAGGATCCTGGCTACTGGAAAAAGCACATTTGAAGAGAATTTGCTTAAAATGAGGTTCAAAATTCATTTGTTAAGAAAGTTTTTATTAGGATATAATTGAGAAAATGAAACAAGTTTATTTCATCCTATATGTAAGAACATTTATATTTTTATTGGTAGCAGTGTGCCATTTTTTAGAACAATAAATGAAACAAATGTTCGTACTTTTAAATTTTATTTTTATGAAATTGTGTGATAGCATGAAAACGTATCATTTACTTTACATTTTACTTTCATAGCAAAATTATAGCAGGGATTGTTTTTTACAAAACTATGGAGCTCAACTAATTTTCCTAAAGGTCTCTCTCTTTTATCCTTAGTACTATTCTGATCATTCATTCAATTATAAAACACCTATTAGGTCATCTTCCCTGACAATTATTGCAAGAGAATAGATTTCATAGGTATATAGGTGTATGCAACCATCTGCAAATTATGTAACAATGTAGATACAATACACAAAACTCTTTGAGCTGCATTCCTCACTTCCTTCTTATCCCTAGCAAATTGGTAATGATAAATGCATCATCTCTGCAACATGCCACATGGACATCTTCCAAGAGAGTCTAGATGTATGAAAATAATACTAAAAATTTACATTTTTATTGTTATATTTTCTAGATATTAACCTCAAATAAAATATAACAAGTAGTATTCTAAGCTTTAAAAAAAAATAGAGGGCAAGAATAGAGTGATAGATAAATGTTCCCTTCCTGGTGTGTTTAATACATACCCCCCACTGAATCTCCGAAACACTCCACAGAAAGAGGTTCTGAATAACTTTTGTGATAGTAATTACCATCTTTCCTATAATAGTGATATGTAACAACCTACTTCTGAGGCATTTTCTTCAGATGAGTCAACTTTGGCTTCTGTTGAACATTTCCCCTGGTTGCATAAACTCTAATTTCTCCATGAAAGTCTATAACCTCTCTAGACCTAACTATGTATGAGTCCGTGATTAAAAATTTAAATATTCTTCTACCTGCACACCTATTTGTGTGGAATAGGAGGGAACATTCACGAGCACAGCATTGAGTAGAGAAGCCTGTACGGAGCACAGAACACCCGGGATGCTGAAATATTGGGGATGCAGAACACGTCCAGAGACCTGGGCTACATTTACAGAACTACCCAAATGTCAAACTAGTCTGAGCTGAGACTAAAATTATTTCTGAGGACCCACTTCTGATACGTTGATCTTTCTGAAGGGAAATGGTTCACCTGCTCTGGTCCCATGGTGTGTTTCTGTCCTCAGGATGTCCATGCTCCCAGCAGTGCTGCCTCTTGGGCTACCCCTGTGATTGTTCATCCTTACAGCATGTCTGTGAGCCCTGAAACGGGTGGAACTGAGGGTTTATTAGCAAGGGAATCAGATAAATCAGACTTTGGCACTCCCAGCCTCCCTATCCTGCTGTGTTCTTTTCAGCCCCAAATTTTTCCTCGGGTGTCTATATCTTAAGCTCTCTTTCTCACTCCCCTACCAAGAATGTGGTCATGTCAGAGACAATGACCATATCACAGGCTAACAGCAGGAATGAAAATAGCACTGTTGTAAGCAGTCTACACGTGTTAACCTACTTAGTTCTTACAGTAACCCTATGAGATAAATACTTTTATTTTCATCATGCCTATTTTGTAAATGAGGAAACTGAGGCATTGATGGGATATATAATTTACCCAAGGTCACCCAGCTGGTATGAGGCAGAGGTGGGATTTGAACCCAGGCAATCTGGTGTAGTCCATAAATCCCGCTGAAAGGCTGGGCTGCCTTTCAGTCTTCCCAAGCCTAAGTCTTCTCTGGACCACTTTGATAATCACACAATCCCACCTCCACAATACCTACTTCATAGCATAGTTTAGCAGATTAAAGAGTTGTAATGGCTTATAGAGTTCTTAGCACTGTGAGAGTCAGCTGTTATTTTTATTATGAAAGTATAAATGACCGATAATTGTTTTAAGTATTCCCTGGGGGTTGAGGTGGGAATATGTCAAAATGAATCAAAGCCATAAACGAAAGGATTAAAGGTCCCTCAGTGGGCATCAGATTGTGCTACTTCTCCCCACTCACACACGAGTGACTCTTTATCCTAAAAGACACTGCGAGGAACTTTAGAGGTTACCTTGTTGAATTTGCTCATTTTGCAGGTGATGAAACTGAGACCAAGAGCATTCATGTGACTTTCCAAGGTTATGCAGCTTGTTATTAACACAGCTAGGACCAGACCCGATGCCTCTGGGTCCTTTCCTCCAAGACACGTCGCCTCCCACTTCAAGTCAATGGAGTGTGTGCTGAGTGTGACGTACTAGTAAACTTCAGTCCCAAAAATGTATCATCCTGACAGCTGGCAGTCTGTCACAAAATTTGGATTTCTGTAAAAGTCTTTCAAAATGGTTAAAAAGTTCAGTAGCAAAATCAGGCAAGAGCATCTAAATTTCTGCTTCCACCAACCTTGGGCAGAGTTGGAAGTTAGAATAGAAGGAGAAAGGATGGCTGAAAACTTCCTCTGACAGTTTTCTTACTATATCCTCTGCCAAAGCTCAAATATACACCGCATCCTTATATTCAAGGATTTCCAAGTCACTCTACATCATTTTAATTTTAAGAATAGAACCTTTTAAAATTAGTTTTGCCATTAATTATTCCAAAATTTGGGACGAAAAATACATCTTTTTAAAATCTGGTTTTTTATTGATACATAGTAATTATACATATTTTGGGGTACATGCAATATTTTCACACGTGCATACAATGTGTAATGATCAAATTAGGGTAAATGTGATATCCATCACTTCAAACATTTATCATTTCTCTGTGTTGAGACCATTACAAATCTTCTTTTCTAGCTATTTCAAAATATACAATAAATTATTGATAACTATAATCACCCTACTGTGGTATCAAACACTAGAACTTATTCCTTCTATCTAATTGTATGTTTGTACCCATTATCCAACCTTTCTTCATCCTCCCGCCCCCTTCTTAGCTTCTGGTAACCATCATTCTACTCTCTACCTCCATGAGATTAACTTTTTTAGCCTCCACATATGAGTAAGAACATGCCACTAGCTTATTTCACTTAACATGATGGCCTCTAGTTCTATCTGTGTTGCTGCAAATAACGATTTTGTTCATGGCTGAATAATATTTCATTGTGTATATGTACCACATCTTCTTTATCCATTTCTTCACTGATGGACACTTACGCTGATTCCATGTCTTGGCTATTATGAATAATGCTAAGGTAAACATGGAAGTGCAGATATCTCTTTGACATACTGATTTCCTTTCTTTTGGGTATGTACCCAACAGTGTGATGACTGGATCATATGATAGAAGAACATCTTCTTTATCTTTCATTCATTCATTCAGGAAAAAAAGTACCGCAGTTGATTATTTACTATGTGCCAGATACAATTCTAGGCTTTGGGGTAAAGTGGTGAACAACACAGCTCCCCAAAATCATAGAATTTGCTATTCAGTGAAGGAGACAACAAATAAATAATTTAATTTCAAATAGTAATAAGCATTTTCAAGAAAACTGAAGCAGGATAAGGGACAAAGAGTGATAAGAGAAGAGCAAAGGACTCTTTTACATTGGTGATGGGGAGGTGATCAAGAGGGCCTTTCTGAGGAGGTGGTATTTAGCACAGACCTGAATGATGTTACGAGTTGTTCAATAACACTCTATTAAAATAATACAGTTTATAACAATGTAATGGAAATGTAAGTATCAAACACAGCACATTAAATTTAATTACCTACTCTAAAAATTAGAAAAATACCTAACCCCAAACTATTCTCAAAACAGAGACTTCTCTAAGCAGATTGATGATCTTACTTAGTTAACAAAGGAAGTGAGGTATTAAAGTAGCATATTTGTCAAACGATAAAAGCCATACTTGATTAGAGAATCTGGTAGACTCCGGCAGCCTCCTCCCCCATTTCCTCTAAATCTCTTCTCTAGTCCAACTTGTGTAAAGGGAGCAGCGTGTTGGCAGGTGACACTTGGAGATGCCCAGCCTGGAGTTCCCGTGTGCGCTTGCCGTGCTTTCACTGAGTTTCCCTGTTCTTGCTGCAGTGTGAAGCAGGAACAGAAAATTGGCAGCGGGTGAACACAGAGCTCCCAGTGAAGTCTCCCCGCTTTGCTCTGTTCGACTTGGCTGAGGGGAAATCCTACTGTTTCCGCGTCCGCTGTTCTAATTCCGCAGGAGTTGGGGAACCCTCAGAGGCAACAGAAGTGACCGTGGTAGGGGACAAGCTTGGTAAGTGTAGAGTTAAGTTAAGCAACTGTAAACCTATTTTACTTCAAGAGAAAATTTCAAAGCAAGAATCTAATTAGTAGACATATATAGACATATATAGTGTGCATCTTTGTATAGTCATATGCATATATATTATCAGAAGTAAAAATGGTGACATCCTTCTTACATTTTATAAATTTAACACATTGCCACAGTAGAAAAAAAATTTTTTCCTTGGGGCCATGGTGTTTTATTATGAAAATGGAATAAAAAATTCAAAAACAAAACTATCCTTTCTAATATAATGAAAAATTTAATGAAAAACAAAATTTATTGACTTCTATTCATTTAATCCACGTTTTTAGAATTAGTTAGTCAGTATTAATTGTAACAATAAGAATATCAACAAGTAACATTTTCACAAACCAACTGTAGGGTTTTGCCCAGGTTTTGCTTCTTGAGGCCCTGGGCTCAAAACCAGCGTGAGTTAAATACAACTCATGTGGCAGTTAATGTGTTAATTGAGGGCTGTACTTGGGCTATACATTAAACAAAAACTCATTGTTTTTGCTTCTGAAAAGTAAACTTTTCTGGGAGTTTTAACAATATTGCTAATGGGTTTTTCCAGAGTTCATGGATATTAAGTTTGTTGTTATGTTCCCAAATTAACTTAAAAAAAAAATTTCTGCTTTAACAAATACATTGTAAAATAAAGCAACATACGTTTGACATTATTATGTGTGTAACGTTTCTATGCATGTGTTTGTGCATGAGTGATAAGAATGAATTTTTTAAAACCATCCTGAGTTTAATCCCCAGTTTCCTCTTTCTCAGATATCCCCAAGGCCCCTGGCAAAATCATCCCAAGCAGAAATACAGATACCTCCGTGGTAGTTTCCTGGGAGGAGTCCAAAGACGCTAAAGAGCTGGTCGGGTACTACATAGAGTCGAGCGTTGTTGGCTCTGGCAAGTGGGAGCCCTGCAACAACAACCCCGTGAAGGGCTCACGGTAACTGACGGGATGTGGCTGCAAAGACAGCCAGTGGAGGGGGATTTTTAAAAGATGCTACATTCCAAGTGAATTTCAAATCAAACCTGTCTAATGCAATACATTTGACAAAAAAGGTTTGTTATATTGAACACTTAAAAGCACATAATGTCAGCTATTGTAAGAGTTCATTTTATAGCTCTTTTCTGATTCTATTCCCTTATGCTATTTCTTTTTTTTTTTTAACCCCTCTGTTCTGGTCTTTAATATGCAATATGATAATAGATTCCAAGGATATAATAGGGCCTACTTAATGGAAATTAGCCAGGCATTTTAAATGATACAGGAAAAAAATATCAACATTTTACAGATTCTGGACATCAACATGATTAAACCCAGTGCTAAGAAGACATAAATAACACTAAAACAGAGACATTCAGAACTGAGGAAGAGCGAGACACTGCTTCTACAAAAAAATGCAAAAATTTGGACCAGCCATGGTGGCTCACACCTGTAATCCTAGCACTCTGGGAGGCTGAGGCAGGAGGATCGCTTGAGCTGAGGACTTTGAGACCAGCCTGAGCAACAGTGAGACCCTGTCTCTACTAAAAATAGAAAAATTAGCTGGGTGTGGTAGCGTGGGCTTGTAGTCCCAGCTATTCGAAAGGCTGAGGCAGGAGGATTGCTTGAGCCCAGGAGTTTGAGGTTGCAGTGAGCTGTGATTACACCACTGCACCCTAGCCCCAGCAACAGAGCAAAACCCTACTTAAAAAAAAAAAAGACATTCAGAATACTTTGCCACCTCTTTGTACCTGTTTCTAGTGTGAGGAGGGTTATTTTTTTTTTCTTGCTTTCAACTATTTTATCAACCAGCTTTGCAAACTGATGGTGAGTTCTGGCGTGTACCCAAACTCTGAGCCTCCTTTGATTTAGGACCAATCCAAGAGGGGGATCTTCCCCCAAGAAATTGTCAAACAGGCTTGTTAGACAGCCTCTGGCTTGGGCCACTTCTAAGTCCCAGGACCCCCATAGGATGAATTGGTTCTTTTGCAGAACATGAGAGAGTAGTGACAAAATAATTGATGGAACAAGGCAATATGTTTTGCAAGAGACATATAGCATGTTGGTGCATTTCATTTTGACTCCGACTTCTCCAGCATTTTCCTGGACTGTTTAGAAATATTGGTAGAGTGTAGGCAGTCTCCCTCTCTACAAACAGACAGGAGCTGCTGGAGGGCAGGCACCATTTTTTACTCATTTTTGTGTCCATAATACCTAGCTCAGTGTCTGGAACACTGAGAGATCAAGAAATATTCCCTGAACTGAGCAGACCCTAAGGACTGAAGGACTGGCCTGGATTATGGCTGCCTTTATTAAATATTTGAACATGCTAATAGTAATAGAGTCATTAGCAGCCTTGTTAACTCACCCTGGTTGCAGTCCTTAGGATGGATTCAGATGTCACAGTGATTCATGAAACAGCTATTTATAGCCATAATAGCTATTAAAGAGACAGGTGGTTTTATGAGTGAAACTGCCCATGGATTCACACCTCATTATTGGAGTCTTATATCTAAATGGTAATTCTGGAGTCCATTTTTTACCTTATTTTCAGATTCTAGTATAATTTCTCAAGCAATTGTACCTTCCCTGGCATGCAGGGAGACAGAGACTAGGAGCAACCAACGTGACAGGAGTCTTGTGACAAGGAGCAACAGTGCCTTACAGCCATCAGCGTATACCTGAAATAGCCATTAGTAATATTATTAATACTATCTATTATTTATTAAATATCTCATATATGTCAGGCCCTCTCACAGGTACTTTATATAATTTATAGCTACTCTTTAAATGAAAACTATTATGTAGGGATTATTATCCCCATTTTATTGATGAATATTCAGGGAAAAACCAGGACTTCTCATTTTTTGGCAGAGTGAGTTTAGAAAATTGCCTTAGTTGCCTTCTTATCTAAAGCACATATGTTACCTGAATCCTTTCTCTTCCTTTTTTTTTTTTAGAAATGGTGTCTCACTCTGTCACCCAGGCTGGAGTGCAGTGGCATGATCATAGCTCACTTCAACCTCAAACTCCCTGACTCAAGTGATCCTCCTGCCTCAGCCTCCCAATTAGTGAGGACTACAGATGCATGCCACCATGTCCGGCTATTTTTTTGTTTGATTTTTTGTAGAGGATGGGGTCTCACTATGTTGTCCAGGCTGGTCTCAGATTCCTGACCTCAAGTGATCCTCCCACCTCAGCTTCCCAAAGTGCTCGGATTACAGGCATGAGCCACTGCACCCAGCATTCTTTTTAAAAAATGAATTTTTTTCATAAAGCTGGGTCATTTAGTTAAGCTAACAATCATCTTCCCTAATTTTCCTCCTAAGAAAGCTTTTTAAAACTTTTTTCCTTTTAGATTTACTTGTCATGGATTGGTGACTGGTCAGAGTTATATTTTCCGGGTCAGAGCAGTCAATGCAGCTGGACTTAGTGAATATTCCCAGGATTCAGAAGCTATTGAAGTCAAAGCTGCTATTGGTAAGTTCCTCGTGCATAACTTTGAAGGCGAAAATGACTTTTTCTAAATTATAAAGGAAGATATCATCCTTTCCGGAAATTTTTTAAAGCTTCGAATATTGCTTGATGATTCCATCCTTAGATGATCATTTTTCTGACTCTAGGTGACATCTAACCTTCCATAGCTGTCATTTTACAGATCTTCATCACTTATCCAGATTCTGTGCATCTGTAGCCTTTTCATCTTCACAAGCCCAAGTTTCCTCAGATATTTCCCATTGTGTGAAACTCCATTCTAACTTCGTGCTCATCTTGGGACTGTGAAGGGCCATCCCGGTCCCATGAGGTGGTACATCACCCCTAACACAGATGATCTTGTACTTACAAGCATTTCATCTAGGCCAGAGCCTGGCTTGTTTTCACTAACAGCACATTAACATGCTCCTTTTAAACTTCTGTAAAGTTCATGCAAGGCTTAACCTATGTTTCATCTCTGCTCGCAAAGTAACCAACAAAATAAAACCAGTAATAAAGTAATTATATGCATGTATGTGATGTATCTCCCAATCTTTGATAAGAGTAGAAAAGGGACCCAGGTAGCTTAGAGCAGTAAAAATAAAATTTGTGGTACAGTAATGCATATTTTAAAAGAAAAATTATTTAACTTTGTCTTCAGTTAGCAACTCATATTATTTTTGAACATTCCTTATAATACGGACATGTTTCTTTGAGGTTGGGAGGTACAGACCATTACTATTGCGGTAATGTACATAATTCTAACGGTTATATTTCAGGATCTTTAATATTATGCTCTTGTGCACTTTATGGTCCTTTTTTTTTCCATTCTGTTGAATAGTAGGGCTTTATCTTTCAAGAAATGTCTCAGATTTGCTTTTTCTTGTATATACTAAAAATGCTTTGGGTTCTGCAAATTGAAGTGGTTCCTGTTCTATCTGTGTGGTGTTTTTTCCTCTCATTTCTCCTTTTTCCAGAATATGGAGAAGTTCAAATGTTTGTTGGTGTACATTGTGTGACGTGTATGCTTTCCATATTTCTTGCAAGTCCAAGTGATTTCCGTTAAGCCAAGGTTGTTTTGTTCTGCTTGTGGTCCTAATGTTTTTCTCTTCGTTCTATCACATAAGAGCAATTGGTACCCTGTCCAGGGCCCAACGCGTTTCTGTTGTTGTCTGGCAATTGTAGGGGGAGGAGTGTCTCCAGACGTGTGGCCTGCACTGAGCGATGCACCTGGTGGACTAACAGCCTCCATGGGGGGCGTGCATGAAGCCTCTCCACCAACCTTCCAGAAAGATGCTTTACGCGGTAGCAAACCTAACAAACCTTCACTACCCAGTAGCTCCCCAAACCTGGGCCAAACAGAAGTGAGTAAAGTAAGTGAAACAGTTCAGGAAGAGCTTACCCCACCACCACAGAAAGCAGCTCCTAAGGGGAAAAGTAAGTCTGACCCCCTGAAAAAGAAGAAGGACATAGGTGAGAGTTGAAAAAGTGAAACTGTTCCATCCGTCTCCATCAGTGTCCTCACCTCTCATCGTCTGTGTCACATTCTTCATCTGTGTTCGCTTTCATCGGTGTCATTCTTAATTTTATTTGTTTCCAGCTAGTCATTTGAAATAACTTTTATCTAATGAATTGTAAAAGTAATTGTATATGGGTTTGGCTTTCACACATTATTTTTGGGGCTTAAAAATGATAGAATCCTTAATTTGGTTATAAATCCTTTCTTGGTCTATTAGGCACGCACACCTCTGGGCTCATTTTGCCCAGAGGATTAGGCACAAGAGCAGGAAGGAATTGGTTATCCTAGCCTGTGTGAGGTCCTTTGAAATATTCAAGTTCAGTACATGAAAAAGAAAAAGATTTCACAAAGAAGTGACATATTACCTGGGTCATAGTTTTTAATTTCTATTGTTCATCCTCTAGTTTTTCAAGTGATTATTTGCTAATTATTTGCTAATTTAAATAGCTGAAAATAACTCTCTTTGATAGTGCTAGTGATAGCTACGAAGAGTTTAAGCTGGTATTATAATCACAGGTAGCTATATCCTATGATGCACGATCAACATTGCCAGCAGTGATTTATTTAAGACTATTTACCAGTAAGCCAAGAATGATCTGATTAGGATTTCTGGTATCTGTGGCTTATATATTCGAGGACACAATGGTTTTTCTTATCAAATAAAAAGGAAATGATGAGCATATGCTGATAAATTTCTAAATGCCTTATCTCTACCCCACCCCAACTTTTGTAAACTCTATTTTTTGACACCATTATTTGTCCCTTCAACCCAAACGAGATGGGATATTCATTTGAGACTTTATATTCAACAGTGCTCTGAAATTGAGACAGGAGGGAGGGAGAGAAAGCTTTTTAAAATGTAAAGAATAAAGGAGGTTGGTGAGTGGGGAAGAGAGAAACAAATGTATTTTATTTTAAAAGTCTTCATTGTTTTGAGAATCTTTTTGAATAAGAATGAGATAGTTCCCTTTATCTCCTATAATCCAAATAATTCAGAAAATTATTTTTGATGTTATTGCATATCTAAATGAATTTCTTTCCATCAATCCACCCTCTTTCATTGAAAACTATAATTTCAGTAGTTGAGTGAAAAGTTGATCAGCAAAGCCACATAAATGAAGGACAACTTTTGAAATATTTTCCAAATATTTTTCTGGCTAGGCACTAATAAACACTGTGACAGCTGTATAGTATTTTGTGCTACATGAATAATTTTCCAACATCAGGTTAAAAATAATGGAACAAAAAGTATTATGTACTAAGAGAAAGTCACATGGCAGATTGTGCCTGTTTTTTAAAAATGTTTTTGAAAGGTAGCATTTAGCTGAGCTCCAGAATAATATTTTTCCTGTGTGTAGACAGAACCTGTATAGCTGTACATTTTCACAAGGGTAAGTGTGCCTGAATGGTGACATGCTAGCCATTTGGAAATACATGGAAATTCTAAATAAGCAAATTGAGGCAGAAATTGATATACACATTCCATTTTCCTCAGGGAACAAATAAAAATAAAACCACATAAAGAAGCAAAAATATATACTTCGAAAAAATACTTATGGGAAAAGGAATCTTTTTTTTCAGGATATTGTACCATTGTGCTGGGACAAGTTTTTTTTATCTTTGGAATAACGACTGAAGTGCACTTTTTACTGTGTGTCCATTCTTTTCCTCATACACCAAGTCGGATGCTAACTGATCAGCCTGACATTTTAGTTTTATACTGCAAGAGCTAGTGCCCTCATATGTGGCACCAATTAAGCAAATTTACATATAGAGTCATAAATGCATTTCTGTCTACTCACGAGCTATTCATATCGCAACAGCGGCACCATCTCCACCCTATGGTATCACTTGTCTTGAAAGTTGTCGTGACTCAATGGTTCTTGGATGGAAGCAACCAGATAAGACCGGAGGGGCAGAAATTACTGGCTATTATGTGAACTATCGAGAGGTAATTGGTGGGGTGCCAGGAAAATGGAGAGAAGCCAACATCAAGGCTGTCAGCGATGAGGCATACAAGGTGAGCATGCGACTTTCTGTAGTATGGCATGTCCTGTGCACGAGGATACGCTTGCTGCCCACGCACGCGCACACCCATACCTTGTAAAGGGTTCATGTTATCTCTCCAGTGTCCATTGTTTGCAGTGGCATGACTTTTGTGATAAATACAAGTAGTTTGGCTAACCAGGCAAGATTTATGTATTTTGTCCGGCGTGGTGGCTCACGTCTGTAATCCTAGCACTCTGGGAGGCCAAGGCAGGAGGATCACTTGAGGTCAGGAGTTCAAGGCCAGCCTGAGCAAGAGCAAGACTCTGTCTCTACTAAAAATAGAAAAAAATTAGCTGGGCGTGGTGGTGCACACCTGTAGTCCCAGCTACTTGGGAAGATGAGGCAGGAGGATCTCTTGAGCCCCTTGAGCCCAGGAATTTGAGGTGGCTGTGAGCTAGGCTGACACCACGGCTTTCTAGCCCAGGTGACAGAGCGAGACTCTGTCTCAAAAAAAAAAAAAATTTATGTTTTCTGATTCATATACAAAAGCATAATAATTTCTTAGAATATTTACTATAAAATGTGTACTTACTGTGAAAACTAATGTCTTTCAAAGTACCTATAACCAATATGCTACTAGTTTCAGGAGTCCCAGGATCCAATGACTCTGGATTTTTAACAGTCAATGTTCAAATTACAGAGGATGTAGGGGTGTAGGCTTGATGGCCAAGCACAACTCTCCATGTGGGAAGTGCCTCTTGTGATAGTGGCTCTGATAGCCACAAAGAGGTGCTTTTCATGTGTTCCCCTCTACACAGGGGCCTCCACTGCTTGGCCATGTCAAGGCACCCGAGGGGTCTCCTTGTAGCCTTAGCTGATGACTTCCTTCTTTAGAGCAGCATCAGCTAGGCCCAAGGTCCCAACACTCCCAACACTCCCAGAGTCCCTTCTCATTACTGTGTGGTATTCCATTATGTAGCCATATCACAAACTATTGATTGCTATTTGGGTATTTTGCATTTTTAGCTACATCAAATAATGTAGCTATGAACATTTTTGTACACATCTGCTGGTACATAAGTGAACAAGTTTCTCTAGGTTTTTTCCCTAAAAATAGAATTGCTGGGTCAGAGGGTCTGTTTATCTTCCACTTTACTAGATAATTCTGTACTATTTTCTGAAGAGTATGAGAATTCCCATTGCTCCACATCCTTGCCAACCCTTAGGATATTCACACATTTCCAGTTTTGACAATCTGGGTGTCAAGTGAGTTTGAATCTTTTCCTGTGTATATAGTCCATTTTGAGATCCTCTTTCATAACATGCCTGTTCAAGGTTTTTGCCCATTTTTCTAATGGTTTCTTATCGACTTGCAAAGTTCTTTATATGGTAGGAATATAAATTCCTTTGTGGCTCTGTAAATTGTTAATACCTTCTCCCACTTAGCAGCTTATTTTTCCTCTCTTTATGGTGACCACATTCATTTTAATGTCAAATTTATTGTAGTCAGATTTACTGACATCTACCTTGTCATTAGTGATTTTTGTGCCTTTTTCGAAGAAATGCCTTCTCTATTTCAAGATCATGGAGATATCGAGTAGATTATATTCTAAAAGCTTTACGGTTTTGTTGCTTACATTTCAGTATGCTGGAAGGTAAGGGTCAAAATTAACTTCCCACCCAGCGGAGACACAGTTGTCCCTGCATCATCTATTGAAAGGTTTGTCCTTTTTGTGCTGTTCTGCCAGGCTAGCTGTATCATATATCCAGCTTCTGAATATGCTTGAGTCTGTTTCTGTGCTCTCTATGCTATTCCACTGGTCTGTTTGTCTACCACTGGACCAATATCACACTGATTTAAATATTATAGTTTTATAGTAAATTTGATAACTGGTAGATCATGTTCTCCCAGTTTATTATTCTTTTTTCAGGGCTATTCATAGTCCTTTGCATTTTGATATACATTGTAGAATTAGGTTATCAAGTTCTACCAAAAAACAAGACAAATCAAAAGAAAACACAACAATAAAAAAATTTAAAACAAAAACCCATTAGAATTCTGATTGGGATTGCATTGAATCTATAAATAAATTGAGGAATAATTGATATTTTTAAAATAGTGAATCTGCTAACCCAGGAACATGATATTTCTCTCCGTTTATTTTGGTCTTCTTTAAAGTCTATCATCAAAGTTTTATAATTCTCTACAGAGTTTTGCATATCACTTGTTATTTATTTGTAGCTACTATATATTTTCAGTGCTGTAAATTGTATTTTTATATCAGTTTTTTGTTGCTAGTAAAGAGAAATATAACTAATTTTTATATATTGATTTTGCATATAATTATTATGTATCATTTTTTGCTTAATTTTCTTATAATTTTAAGTTACCTAGAAGTTTTTTTAGATTCTCTATATATAGTCATATTATGTGCAAACAATGATAGTTTATTTCTTCATTTCCAAATTTTATATCTTTTACTTCATTTTCTTACCTTATTTTCTGCCTAGAGTCTTTAGCATAATGTTGAATAAAAGTAGTGATGTTGGTTATTCTAAACTTGATTCTTATCTTAAAGAAAAAACTTCCAACATTTCACCATTAAGTACTGTATTATGTTTGTTATGGGTGTTTTATAGACATCTATCAGTTAAAGGGAATTTCCTTCTATTCCCGGTTTGTCAAGAGTTTATTAAAATTATCATATTTTTTCTGAGTCTAGTGGGATGATCATATGATTTTTCCCTTTAATTTTAATTTGATGTATTCTGGCAATAGTCTAATGTTAAGATAGCATTCCTGGGATAAACCCAACTTGGACATTATGTACACTCTGTTTACATATTCCTGGATTTTTTTTTTTGCTAACTATCATGTAAGATTTCTGCTATGTTCATGAGTGAGATTATCCTGAGACTAAAATTGATTTGGTACCAATAGCTGACAAGGACAGTACAGGAAAAGAAACTGTAGGATAATCTCACTTTATTAAGATAGAATTCATATATCATAAAATTTACTCATTTAAAATGTTGCTTTATGTATTTGGAAGTGATATTATGAGATAAATATAAAGTGACTATCCCTAATAATACATTTTGCCTTAAAGTTTATATTGTCTGTTATTAATATAGATACATTGGTTTTCTTTTGGTTGGTTTTTGCATGGTATATAACATTTCATCTTTTAACTTTCAATCTTTCTGTAACTTTATGCTTTGTATATGTCTCTTAAAAATAGCATAGAGTTGGATTTTATTTTTTTCATAGCTGACAGTCTTTGTCAGTTAGGAGTATTTAATATTATTACTGATGACTTTAAAAAATCGCCTTGTTTTTTGTTTTCTTTTTGTCTTTCCTTTTCTGTGTTTCCTTTTCTGTCCTTGCTGGATGGCTTTTAAATCATTTTTAAACATTATTCCATTTCCACCCCCCACCTTTGAAAGCTATATATTCTAGGTTTCTTTGTTTTTGTTGGTTGAAATTTGGAGTGTGAAAGTTATTCCATTTGTTTTATCCTTGTCTCAGAAACATAAGGGTCTTAGAATAACACTTACCTCTTCCCAATTTGTGTACTATCGTGTGTATGTCTGTGTTTTAATTCTTTTTTAATCCAAACAACAATGTGATTATTGTTTTATAATTCAGTTTACCTACATATTTACCATTTTGTTTGCTTTTAATTCCTCTTCTTTGACCTTCCATCTGAGATTATTTTCCCTTTGCCTAAAGTAAATATTTTAGAATTTCCTTTAGTGAAGGTATCCTGAGGGTAAAGTCTTTATTTTTGTTTGTCTGGAAATATCTTTTTTCCCCCTCATTCTTCAAAAATATTTTTTCTAAGTAAAACATTCTATAATGGTAGTTATTTTCTTTCAGTGCTTTGAAGACACAGTTCCACTATCTTCTGGCTTGTTGTTGCCACTGACATGTCAACTCTTAGTCTGTTTGCTCACTGGAGGATAATTTATCTTTTTTCTTACACAACTTTTAATATTTTCACTT